TTTTCGGTCGGGCCACGGTCCACGTTGAGGGTCCTTCCCGTCAATCTCACAAGACGAATGAGTGTTCAGACAAAACCAAAATTTATGCCAGTGTTTCCATCTAATAAACCCAACACGAAACATTGAACCCAAGGAAAATGGCTGACTTTTGGATTGTAGCGCCGCGTATTCTGGCAAAAGTTTACCGACGTTTCAGAGGTTCCTGCTGCCTCCATTATCAGGGAACTTCTACCAGAAAACACGGCGCCGCAGACCTGAAGACAGCCATCTTCGTACTCACCCCCGTTAAAACCTCAAATCTTATTCAACCCTAAGTTACGTAAATTTCTCTCCCTACACACTAGTTAACCTATTTTATTTAGTGTTCTGTCTGAGGACAGGTCCATATGAACAGGATCCTTCCATCCTTTTCTCGGACTGGGACCTGTTCATATACGTTCTTGGCAGATGATCCAGAAGTGGTTTGCCATTGCCTTCTTCTGTGTGTGAATGGAGTAATTGTTGGGATGCCACGGAGAAACCGGGGAAGCCCCCGGAGGAAAACTCCGTGATGCCTAGACCACGGCCTTGCCCAACACAAGTTATAAATTCGGGCACCGCCGGGAATCGAACCCGAGACCCCAGGATTACAAGGCCAGCGTTCTAACCGCTAGACCACCTATCATCATTAAAAATCTTATATCGCGTTCAATGCTACACAACGTCAGTAGTTGATACAGCGCTGTAAAAGTCACTAAACAATCAAGTCAATCGAAAAATACAGCGTTTAAAGGGGATGGCAAATGCTTAATAAAATTTAAATTTGATAATAATTGAGTATTTAAAGCTGTAATGCACGAAAGTAAGATTAAATACACGCGAATGGAAAAGCGGTTTACTAAAAGTGAACCGGTTTGCATGAAAGCAGTCTGCTGGGGGCTGTACCTCGCGATATGTACTATTGAAAGTAGTTTTCCAAAATAATTGATCAATCTATAATTAAGCGATAAAACATATTTCGTTCTGTTGACGTAATACCACATAAATATTGATTAAAACAATCACTGCAAAAAACATTGTACTAATTTGTAGATCCAATTCGCTTAATGGTGTTTTAATGAGTGCACCCGACCGTGATACGTACATATAGATTCAAAGCTGTAGGTCACTCGTTTACAAAGCCTCTAAAACGTACAGCCAAGCTCGAAACTGAATTAAACGTACACAAAGTAACGTCCCATTGGATATTACATGTGGATATGGAAGTACGTTTATGAGGAAACGTAAGACCCCACGAGAGCAGGCAGTGAGACCGCCGAACTAATTTTGCTTTCGTACCATATTATTATTATTCTATAATAATCTAATTTCCTTAATTTATTTAAATTATTATAACAAATATACTAATGTATTTAGTAGCAATTTTCTTTGTGTATTAACGTTCTCCGTACTAATGTATTTTTATATTCTGCTTATTTTTAACTTCTGTTTTTATTGTGTTCGTGTGCTGTATCTGTAATTGGTCTTCTGGCTCTTGATACAGCACACTAATAATAAAGATTTAAATTATTATTATTCTGAATTATTATTATTGTTTTTTATTGTTTAATGTCTTTATTTAGTATTAGGTATCGTATTTATCCCATTAACTTGTGAACTATATTTAGTTTCATTTATTTGTTTGTTTTTGTATTTATAATGTTTTACTTTTATTATTATTGAAATGAATTTAATTATTTATTATATTTTATCCTGTACTCTGGTTTAGTGCTTTCCTGTTATTGGCTTTTGTCAAGCACATAAACAAATTAATTGAATTATTATTGTGGACATTGTTTAAAATTGAACTGATTTTAATTTAATTATTATTTTACTTAGGAATATTATTCAGTTCATTTACTTGTTAATTATTTTGCAATAAATTAATGAATTGAATTATTATAATTACGAAGATTGTACATTTATATATTTAGTACATTGTTTTCTTGTTTTTGTATTGTAATGTTTAATTTTATTATTTTTGACGTAAATACGTCTACACGGAAAGGAAGTTTATATATTGGCTTTATTCTAAATGTTTCCTTTATACATGCTTTACAATTGAGATAAGTTTGATTAAGACTTTGCTTATTTAATTTGAATTAGTTACGCTTAAGATGGGTCTGTGGTAGCTGAATGTAATGTAATGTAATGTAATGTAAGGTAAGGTAATTTTCAATTTTCAATTCTTTATTATTTGTGTGCTGTATCAACAGCCTGATGGCCAATTACAGATACAGCACAGAGATAAACTCACAAACACAGTAAAAATATTATGAACAGGATCCTTCCATCCTCTTCAGGTTGTCAGGGACCTGCTCATACATATATACATTCTTGGCAGAGATGATCAGAAGTGGTTTGCCATTGCCTTCTTCTGTGTGTGAGTGGAGTAATTGTTGGGATGCCACGGAGAAACCGGGGAAGCCCCCGGAGGAAAACTCCGTGATGCCTAGACCACGGCCTTGCCCAACACAAGTTATAAATTTGAGCACCACCGGGAATTGAACCCGGGACCCCAGGCTTACAAGGCTAGTGTTCTGACAGCTAGACCACCGTGGCGCTAATGTGATGTAAGGTAATGTAATGTAAGGTAATGTAATGAAATGTTTTATAGGTAATAATAATGCTAAGTAAACAGATGAGGCTTCCTTGGTAACATAACAATGCAGTTACACTTTTTCGTAACAGTTTTTCGTAACACATTTTTGCCGAATGACCCTTCCTTATAGACGTATTTACGTCAAAAACTGTTACGAAAAAGTGTAACTAAAAAGTTACAGAAAGATATGTAAGATCCGTATCAACAAATTGACAACAATGTGTAAATATGGACCGACAACAATGGTCAGCTTGCGTGCATTGTTATGTTACCTAGGAAACGTCATCTGTTTGTTGTGTTACATTACTGCCGTCAACAATCCGCTTTCGTAACAAGATGTATGACATTGAAGATAACATTACATTATATTATATAACAGAGACGTAAATATAATTTAAATATAGAGACGTATTTACGTCAAATTCTCCGGAACCGTGGTTCCACTGTCACTTTTTGTATTGTTATTAGTGCTTGGCTGTTGTCAAGCCGTGTCCACTTACAATATAAGCTGAAATAATATCACACTTTAAAAGTATACACAGGCATAAATACACTAAACAGAGGACTTAAGTAATACAGGGAATGTTTACAATTTAACTCTTACAGAAAAGATGGTGTCCTCAGTTTCAGCCTTCCGTCGTATCGCGTTATCAGGTGCGCGCTGAGTTTGTCGTAGCGGGGAAAGGCGAGGAAGTGAATCGCACGACGAGGCACCGTTTTCTAGGACCCTCCCCCCAAACCGGCTTAACAGGAAGGTCTCTAAACAACGTGTAAAAAAACCCATTCAGACAAATAAGCATTTGCCATATTTCCAGCCATTAAAAGAACTGTCCCGCAACCCATCGAATTGAATTTGAAACCCATATTAATATTCACAAATATTCTGTGAAAAAATCTTCGATAAGTGCGATTCAGCATTTAAGTGCTGTTAAAAAGGACGTAGACACGCTCAGTAATAACGTGTGTGTCCTTAATGCTGGTACTCCTGAGGACAGACAAATGGAATGTTCGAAAAGACAAAACCAGCAAACTTTATAGAAAGAGAAAAACATATCGGAGACTTGCACAGGCTCAGAAACGAATTTTAAAATGGTTAGTGGCTTAAACATAACTTGGCATAAGGTGAGAATGTTGATAAACTTGAAAATTCACTCAGCGATTTGAAGAGGTGGAAGACTTGATAAGTTTGCACCAGAAAGATAATAAAATACGAAAACAATTTTCGTCGGCACGACTGAACGGAAGAGATCACTTCGAAGACCCAGGCGCATATTTAGAATACTGAAGTCCACGGCAGGAAAAGAGGGTTGGAGGGTGTGGATTAGATACAACTGGCTCAGGAAAGGGACCAATGGCGGGCTGCTGTGAAGATGGCGAACATCGTGTTCCACACTAGCTGATGCCACTGTTGGATTCTCAAAAAGACTACGCCATGGAACCGGTTATTCAGTACTTATCATCGTATTTTACAGTACTTGCCTAACGTTGGCACTCTTGCACCACAAATTAAGTTAACGACCAATGGCGGGCTGCTGTGAAGATGGCGTACATCGTGTTCCACACTAGCTGATGGCACTGTTGGATTATCAAAAAGACTACGCCATGGAACCGGTTATTCAGTACTTGCCATCGTATTTTGCAGTACTTGCCTAAAGTTGGCACTCCTGCACCAGAAATTAAGTTAAAGGCATTTAATTATTACCCGTAACGTAAACTGATGTTGATAAGTTACAGTTAATTCAATAATTTGTTTAAATAGAAAATGCAACAGATTCGGTGTGTACAGGACCTGATTTGCATGACAGCTAACAAATTTACAAATGGCGTGTAGTTTATTTCGAATTGACAGGCAAATAAACAGCCAGTGCTGTTAAGATATCGGCGGAACATCTCTCCAGTGGAAGACGCATCATTTTTCTCAGTAAATTTCCTCGTAGAATTTTAAAAGTGCTTTTGGGATGCCAATTACAAACGTGTGCATTATTAATGGATTAAAGGCGAGGTCGTCTGTTTCCTTGGTTAAAGATCACGCTTTGGAAACGTGTGGTGGGTTACAGGTATAACTCTGGGTCCACTTGACCTTCGCATTGGACTCAGGAGAGATTCCAGCTTCAGTCGCTTTACTCTTCAGAAACAAGCCCACAGCACCGATTCGGTAGGAGCCTCAGTGGGCCCCCCAGAGGTCGTGAACGAGAACTCCTGTCTGATAAAAGTCTAATCTTGAACATCATTTTCGCCACAATAATTTAGAACTGCAAACTAATCAGTCTGAGGTCAAACACAGCAAAATGCAAATCTCAGCACTGAAAAAGCCCTGACGAATTCATTTCCGAATTTCATGGGGCGGGAGGAATGCGAACTGCACCTTCTGTGGGAGTGATTTGGTATTTGATGATTTATGATCCAGAATTAATGACAAACGACTGTGGCAGTTGAAAAAAAAAAGTCAGATCCGGAGAAGTACTGACCTGCAGGTTCACGTGCTGTAGACTCTGCAAGCTCCTGAAGGCTCCAGACTCGATGCTGCTGATGAGGTTGTTCTGCAGGTGGAGCTCCAAGAGAGCCGGCAGAGGATCGAACACACCGCGTCCGATCTCCACAAGCCGGTTATTCTGCAGTCGCAGTTCCCGCAAGCTGTTCAAGTTCCTGAATGTCCCCGGTTCTAGTCCCTCCAGCCAGTTGCCGTCCAGGCTCAGGGAAGTGAGCTTGTGACCCGTCGCAAACCAGTCTCTAGGGATAGTCCTGATGAAGTTAGAGCTGAGGTGGAGTTGCGCCAGGTTAGGGAGTGATAACAAAGCTTCTGGGTCGACGCGACGGATGGCGTTCTGCTGCAGGTAGACGACAGTCAGGAGCGCAGAGTCCGTGAAGGCGTCGGCAGGCAACTCCAGAATGTTATTCTCAGAAAGGAAGAGTTCCCGCAGCTCCGGCAGGCTCGCGAACACGCCGCTGATGTAGTGGATGTGGTTGTGACTGAGGTCCACAGTGCGAAGTTTCTTGTTGCTGTGAAACGTCGCACCGTCCAGGAACACAACTTTGTTATGGCTCAAGTCCACGGACTCCAGTTCCAGAAGCGACACGAAGGCGTCACTCTGCACAGTCTCGATGGAGTTATAGTAGAGCGACAGAGTGCGGAGAGCTGGCATGGGGTGGAAGCAGTCGGATGGGACGGTTTCAAAATTATTGGAGCTCAGGTCCAGGAACAGCAGCGCGGCCAAGCGCGAGTACCCGTCGTTAGGAATGTCTCCGATCTCGTTCCAGGCCATCCGCAACGAGCGCAAATGCTCTAGCCTGCGCAGAGCCGCCATCGGGAAACTCTGAAGCTTGTTCTCGGCCAGGTCGAGTTCGGTGAGCGATTCCTCCAGCCCCGCGAAGGCGTACTCGCTGGTCTTCTGCAGGAGATTCCCCTTGAGGTTCAACTTGGAGAGGTGGAGTCCGTACAAACTATAGCTGGGCAGGTCTGTGATTTCATTGGCCTCCAGATCAAGTGCCCTTAACTCTGTGAGGCCCGACAGGGCCTTCTGCGGTACCTGCTGTAGGCGGCCGGACACGAGGCTGAGCGACTCGAGGCCGTGCTGCAGCTCGACAAGGCTTTTGTCCGCGAGCTCCGCCAGGCTGGAGTGCGAGATCTGCAGATGGCGGATCACGGCGCCAGGCGGGAACAGCTCGGCCTGAAGCGCTGTCACCTGCTCGTCGAGGTCATAGATGCTGAGCGACTGCACGGGACCGGCCACTTGCAGCAGAACCTCGCGCAGGATCTGCACCGTGGCTCCCGGGCACTCCAGAAACAGTCCGTCTTCGAAGTTGTAGCAGGGACAGGGCGAGGATGATTGCGGGC